GAAACGTTAGGAAACAAGACTTCAAGACCACGGCCACACAGCCCGGAAAACCCACACCAGCTACAGTTACCATATTAATTAAAAGGCTGATATTTTCTAGATAGAATGCTTGCATGCATTTACTCTGAATCTTAGTTGTTTCTCATTGCAAAAGAGTCATAGAGTCATTCTGAAACTAATTTCCATCTTGCTCCAAAAATAATGTTACACAATGTACAGCCTGTTAATTTAGACTTATGGTCTACTGAATAAGCTTTGCAGCTTTGCTATGAATTCTGCTTAAAGGTGGAACAGTATAATTTTTAAAAGAATCGGTTTAGTGCTTTCTATATTTTACTGAACAGACAGATTTGGTGGGAAAATCATATTTTTTATTACTGTTGCCTGTGAGCAATTTGTATGTTACTGCCACTTCTGTGCAAAACTGTTTCTTTTTTTTGGAAGTGTCAATTAGCAAACCCACCTTAGGGACAAAAATATATTCATAGTTATTTCTTCATTATTGGTGAGATAAAAAGAGCAATGAGTCAAACAGCAATTGGAATGTAAGCAAATATGATAGCTTAAAGATAGAAATCATAGTTTTAACACATCACCTGCTGCTTCTGTGGTATTAAGAGCATGAGTTACAGTTTGAAATTCTTAATCAAATTGCTGCCTACGAAGTTAACACTCAAGGTGGTGTTGCAGTGTCATTCTGCCACTCTGGATTTTGCAGCCCGGTTCTGGTCACTTGATCTTGGTTCCATGCTTTGATTAAAACAAAATGTGTATCCACTCTCAGGAAACTTGCAAATGTGTTTATGGATCTTCTAATAAAGCATCTGAAAATTACAGTTCTGTCCCACATGACTGAAATGGGTTAGCTAATTTATCCTGACTAGTCTTTCACAAAATGTAGCAGTATTTCCAAATGTTTTAATATGCGATTTCTCCCTACAGGCTTATCGGCTAATACTGACACAATCCACAATCCACGTAAGACAATCTGACCATTCTTAAATAATTCTGGTTCCTCAGGGGTAATGGGCCAACATTTAAAACATTCATAGCTACTGCTAATGGCCTTCAAACATAATCTGTAGATACCCATTAAGAAAAAATAAGACCAGATGTATTTGTTAAGCATAAATAATAAAAACATATATGATTAATAAAAATACTGAAAATGGTGAAGTACCCTACATTCTTGCAAACTATTATTATATTGATAAGAATTGTTTATCTTTGGAATGGAATAAGTGGCCCAAGTAAATAAGGAACTCTTGGCGCAATTATGTTCCCGTGTGATTAATGTGTGCATTCCTTCATGGCAACACAACAATATATTGCACTGCTATCAAAAATAAAATTCAATATAGAAACTCAGTAATGCAAACTGACTTGCTTTTCTCTTTCTCATACCTTTGCAGCTTCCTTTCTCTTATGCTGCAGGCCACAGGAAATGCTCCTGGCCACGCCTGGTGGGATATGAGTTGCGCCATTACCATGTCTCAGTATCGTGAAGAGAAAGGTTATTATTTATTTATTGCATTTCTGTCTCTCCTTTTTCCTCTGACAGTTCAGAGTGCCTTAAATATGACTCTCCCCTCATTTTATTCCCACAACCACATAGGTTGGACTGAGTTGGCCAATTGTTCTGTGGCAGAGGCCCTGAACATGGTTTCCCCCAATTCAGGCCCATTACTTTGGCTACACTTATCATGCCTTGAGAGATGTGGAATAGGATGACAGTATGAAAGACAGGCAGCAGTCTTTTGAAGTTCTGTGTCATAGTCATGTTGAAATGTCACAACAACTAGTTATAGCACCTTAAAACCCTTTATTTGGGTTTAGCAGTACATTTTAGAACACTACTACATAATGGCCTTTCAGACAATAGATCATAGTTCTTATCAACATGAGGCAATTTGGGCTGGTCTCTGAGACATATTCGGAGTTCTATAATAACAGCTAGGCTTTACAGTAATGTTTATAGATAATAGTTCAAACAGACTGTTAGGGAAGATGGATTGGGCTATCTCACAATCCTTTCTGCAAGACAAATCAGTTCATAAACTTACACTACTGTTGATTATTGAAGCCTCAGCAGTTTATACTAAAACATAACATCTAATTTAAAAACCTGTGTAAATTATATTTGGGCTAAGTGAGTAAGACAGGAGTAGGTAAGCTATACTGTATACTGTGGACCCAACTTTTTTTAAAAGAAAGGACAAAAATGGTGCAAGTTCCTACTAAAATTAAAGCCTCTATTTTGCACTTAAACCTGCCCAAACAATCCCCAGTTTATCCCTATCCCCTCCAATGATATCACCTTTGGACCCCTTGTGACCCTTGGAAGATATAACATAAAATAAAATGAAGTAGCCACCAAAACACTACCCTTTCTTGTATAGTGCTACAGATATGATCTTTTCTGTAGTACCCCCATTCTTCTAGAATGAATTTTTTAATGGGAGGTATGACAAGAACCAGTTCCTCTCTATACTTTTAAAAAAGGGTTATGTTGAGCCATGAGAAGGGAAAATTGAGGAGTGATATCGTTATAAAATACCTGAAAGGATGTTGTACAAAAAGGGGTCACAACTTGATTTCTCTTGTCTCAGAATGCAGGACACAGAATAACTGTCTGAGGAAGACAGATTTTGGTCCCATGTTAGGAAAAACCTTCAAAGAGAGCAGTTTTACAGTGGAGCAAATCACCTAGAGAGGTAACATCTGGGCAACCATCTCTCAGGGATACCTTAATCTGGACTCTGTTAAAAGAAGGGGGTTGACTTCCTGACCTACGCAATTCCTTTCAGATGTATGGTTTTATAATGAAAATGGATGTTTCAGTCTGCCTTTTAGTGATCCTGACCCATTTTATAATTTAAATCTGTGGTTATTTTTAATGCTATTGTTTTAAATACCTGTATGTTTAAAACCTAAACATAAATAAATAAACAGTATTTATTTTTAAAATTATATGTTAAACTGCAATTGACAATAAGCTAGTGAATTTAAATGGGCATAGGTTTGTGTGCGTCTGGTTGCTAGGTATAAAGATTCAATTAACTGTGTGTGTAGATGTGTGGTTACCGTTTTTTTTTTATTTTCACCTTCATTCATTGCAACATTCATTACTGTTTCACAGTTTTCGGAGTTGTACTGGAAACAATGGGAGAGGAAGGAACAGGCGTCAGTGGCATCTGACTGAGTTTTGTACCTTTTCGAGAGGTTGCACGTGATGGCTGCAAAAGAAAGAGCAATGCATATGCTTATTTATATCAGATTGAATTCCAGCTAACTCACTGATCAGGGTAAACATATATGATTCTCTTTGTATGAGCTATTAAACTTCAAGGTTAATACCAGCAAATGCAAACCTTTATTTAACTAGGAAATCTGTTTCTTGATCTAAATTGGTATAAAGCAGTGCTACTATCAGAGCTTCCCATGTGTTGAACCCAGGACTACTCTCAAATTCCCTAGTTTGGCCCAATAAAAGAAACATAACCTTGTCTAGGACAGGTTGTAAGCCTCCATTCCCAGTAGTTAATTTCTCTGTTTATAGTCTTCTTTGGATTAAGTTTCAGATAATTGCCCACATCCAACTGAAAATGACATTCAAAAGTTCAGTTTAAACCTTTCATGGTTTCTGTGTAGCACATATAGATAGAAATGAAATACAACTGAGAGCTAAACCTCTGTGTATCTTTTCTCAACAGTTTTGTATATGTGCATATATGAGATAAGGGGACGCGGTGGCGCAGCGGCTTAATGATGCTGAAAGTTGCCGGCCAGAAATGGTCGACGCTTCGGCGGTTCGAGTCCA